CCCTGTAGCGCTTGTTTATGGGTTATATGAAGCCTTTATGATGAATAAAGTGGTAAAGTTTCTTTTTTTTTATTTTGTTTCAGTTTAATTTTGATATTTTTTTAGTCGTTAGAGGTAGATTTGCTTATCATTATTCAACCTACTTTATTTTATAATATTGGAAATTTTCATAATTTCAAATAACACAAGGTAGTCTAATATCTCTTGAATGTTCTTTTGCAAACAATAATAGGCCCATTTGGTCCCAATGGTTAAATTCTGGGAAGGTTTTCGACCACAACCACCTTTGTTAATTTTATTATCGGTGCTCTTCAACTGCATGCAGGTTACAGGAATTTCATAGCTCGAGGCAGAGTTATACCTTGTTGGGTTTTTCCCCTTGTTGACTTCTGGGTCGTATTCTTTTGTTGCATACCAGGTATTGGTATGTACAATTTTTACAGAAGGATTTCTATTACAGGTGGACTAAGTGCAGCAGTACCAGGAGAATTGAGAGGTTATTGGGCTGCTCATCAGAAATTTGGTAAATTGCCGTGGTCTTCCATTTTACAACCCAGCATAAACCTGTGTAAAAATGGCTACTACGTAACAGAGCATCTTGAAGCGGTACTAGAATCTCAGAAAAGTAACATTTTTGAAACTCGAGAATTGAGGTTAGTCTCAATAACGTAATAAGTTAATCTCTTTTAAAGCCAAAGAATTGCATTACGTTTTCAAAGAATTAAAATTAACTTTCAAAAAAGTATTTTAATANTAACGTTTCGCTAGCATCAGTGGCGAAGATCTTCAAAGGTCCTTCCATCTTCAGTTGGAGTTGCTTCCTTTGGAGTTGTTTCCTAACGTTTCGCTAGCATGAGTGACGAAGATCTTCAAAGGTCCTTCCATCTTCAGTTGGAGTTGCTTCCTTTGGAGTTCCTTCCTAATGTTTCGCTAGCATAAGTGGCGAACTTCTTCAAAAGTCCTTCCATCTTCGGTTAGAGTTGCGTCCTTTGAAGTTGCTTCCTTGCTAGCGAAACGTAACGAAGTAATTTCAAAGAAAGCAACTCCAACCGAAGATGGAAGAACCTTTGAAGAAGTTCGCCACTCATGCTAGCGAAACGTTAGGAAACAATTCCAAACGAAGCAACTCCAATTGATAATGGAAGGACTTTTGAAGAAACTCGCCACTCATATTAGCGAAACGGTAGGAAGCAACTCCAAACGAAGCAACTCCAACCGAAGATGGAAGGACCTTTGAAGTAGGTCGTCATTCATGCTAGCGGAACGTCAGGAAGCATTTCCAAAGGACGCAACTCTAACCGAAGATGGAAGGACTTTTGAAGAAGTTCGCCACTCATGCTAGCGAAACATTAGGAAGGAACTTCAAAGGAATCAACTACAATTGACGACAACCTTTAGATCCGAATCAGGTCAGCATCAATACACTAACTGGCCGTGAAAGCCTTTACCAATTTTCCTTTTTGTATTTTGTTTAAAATTTTTTAGTTTTAGAAATTATATCTCTACGAAAAAAATTGCTTACATTTGGACAAACGTTCCCCAATTCTCATTATCTTTTGTGATTCGTTACTAAGTGAATAATCAGATATTGGTAAACATCCAAAAACGGCCTGTATTATACTAAAACACCAAAAATTAAAAAAATCCTAATGTCCAACTTGACCAAATTTACCAGTTCACTTTCATATCAGACGTAGTAATTCTTCCACTTAAAGGAAACCGTATTGATTCCTCTTTACTCTTATTAATCATATTTAAAGTCTTTTTTTCGTCTGTTCTCAAATGAATATCAGAAAATTCCTTACATTTTGATATAATTCCAAGAACTTGTTGTAGAGCTTCCTTGCCACTCATCTAAATCCACAAGAGAAACATAATACAATCCCGAGTCGATTTTTTATAAAATCAATAACCCTTACTTTAGTGAAGAGCTTCATGGTCTCAAAAGCAATGTAATATTTCGCCATTAACGACCCGGATAACGTTGGTGATATTACAATATCGTTTTGATCGATGGTCAAAAGGCCAGTCTTGGCCAGTTTGTTTATTTCAATTTGACACATTTCTTAAAAATATTCCAATTTCCAATCATAATTCATTTTACAAATATTTTAAATAAATGCGCATTTAGTTTACCTAACAGTTTCCTGTCTATTTGATCAGTGTTTAATCCCAAGGGGAGTCCGTAATGTTTAGGATTTTTGGAAGCCCTGACGTACAAAAAAGTGGTTGTGATCCACTGCATGGCCACACTTAAATCGGTAATCGTTTTCAAAACAACTTCAGCGTTCAAATGTTCAATTAAATGCTTGTGAAGATTTGACTCGATGGCCTGCTGACCTTCCACTAATGACTCGTATTTTTTCTGGTAAGAAGACCAAATTTGAATAATACAAAAATTGGATTTAAAAATGTACAAACGTAATGAAACTGTGTAAAAATATCGCTTTTCCATTTACATAGGAAACCGTAAAAATGTTAAAGTTATTGTATTTTATTGTGAAGATCCTAACGCGTTTGAAAAATACATTATCGGATTCTTTGAATAATTCTAAAACCTTTTTTCCTTTGTCATTTTTCGATCCGCCACCTAATTATCGAGTAATCAACAATTGAAAGCGCGCTTGTATTACTGCAGGTAGAAGTAGGCAAATCTGCGCGAAGCAATCGATATTTGGGCGCTCCGACTGCTTTTGCGAGTGCTTGCAGTAGCAGTTCAGGCAAATTTTTAATTGACTCATTACTTTTATATTCTATCAATCGCCTACTGTGCATCGTACGGAAAAAGGGAATAAGGAAAAAGTTTAGAATTTCGCAAGGAATCGAATGCTAGAAGTACTTTTCCGGAACTCAATGTATTACGTTTTACCTTATCTAAAGTTTATTTTAATTTGTAATAAAGACACTGATACATTAAAAAAAAAAAGTATACCATCGGATTCTTTGAATAATTCTAAGACCTTTTTTCCTTTGTCATTTTTCGATCCGCCGTCTAGTTATTGAGTAATCAACAATTGAAATCAGAGCGCTCTTGTATTGCTGCAATTAGAAGTAGGCAAATCTACGAGAAGCAATCGATACTTGGGCGCTTCGCTCACGTCTACTTGCAGCAGCAACACAGGCGTACTTTTGATTGGCTGATAGCTTTAATGTTTCATTACTCGCTTATTATGCATCGTATAAAAAAACGAAAAAGGACAAAAAGGATTAGAATTTAACAAAGAATCGAATGATAGCGATATTTTTTTGCTGGAACTCAATGTATATGAATCATTAACAGGTTTATTATATTGGAAATTGATACAAATTCACGTCTTACCTTATCAGCTGTTGTAGTCAAAATAACGGCAGTACCAAATTGGTCAAACTGAGGTCTACCAGCCCTACCAATCATTTGCAAAATCATACTTTCGCTATAATCTCTATATTCTCCGCCAGAGTAGTATTTTGTGGTTTTAATAATGACCAAATGGGCTGGTAAATTTACACCGAGTGCTAGGGTGCTTGTTGTGACCAGAACGCCAAGATTGCCGGTACGAAAAAGGGTTTCGATGACACGACGTGTCTCAAAGGGAAGACCAGCATGATGGCAACCGATGCCGTTCATCAGGAATTCCTTGAGACTTTGATTAGCAACCGAAGAAAGAGATTCTTGAATGCGAGATTTCTGGTCTGCTAACAGGTGGACTGTTAGATTTTGAAGTAAATGCTTCGCGGTCATTTCAACACTTTTGCGCGTATTACAAAAGATCTGAAGAATTTAAAGGGTTGACGTTAGGAAGAACAGAATTATTTTGATACGAGTGTAAAATACGTACTAGTGTGGGTTTCCCCATCGAGTGCTGCAGGATTATCGATTGTAGGCGATAGTTCATTGCTAAATCGAATTTAAAGTTATTGCTTTGCTGAGAATAGCCAAAGATCAATTTTTTGAGAGGAACAGGTCTCATTTCTTCCCCAAATCTTCAGAACACAAATCAAATTATTGAAATAAAACTTCAGGGAAGTTGTTTTTTAGAAATGAGGAGGTATTAGGAAGAATAGGGGAACAGTGGGAATCAATAAGTAATAAGAGAGATAGGTTGGCAGGACACCTTCCCAGACATGCCAGTTACAAGCATATTAGAAGGAAATGGGTTGAAGAACTGATGGTTATGATGACGATGATGATGATGATGATATGATATTGGATAAAAGAATATCAGAACTATGCAATCGTATAGACAATAATTTTACGTGACGTTGAAGACATTGAAAATATAGATTTAGAAATGATGAAACGTGAAATTATCGTTAGGACTATTTCTAATTAAATATTAGAAATCTTGGAGAACCTTAGAATTGTATAGGGATCAAAGACTGTAAAAGAATTTTTTATTAGCTTACTTGAAACATTTTGCAGGAATTATTGGATTTCCTAGCCATTCTGCCACGTCTTCCACGTTTGGAATTGTGGCAGAAACAGCCACAAAACGAGTACTTCTAAACAGTTCAACATTTGTTTCCGATGGTTCATATTTTAGCGTTTCTTCAATTATCTTCATACGGTTTAGCTACATAAAAAATTACCACTGGATACGTTAGCAATAAAAAAATTTGGAAGCAAAGGAACTGTTAATAATTCTCAAAATATTATATGGTTTAGTTTATGTGTAACTTACGATTTAGGTTGTAAAAAAAAATGACAATCAATAATATAATAATNTCGTCGATTATTTGTTGCTTTTATTATTATAAGATACATTTATATAATGACCATGGCCGCCAGGCTGGCTAGTTTTTGGCTCACAGCAGCCTTCTTGATCGGCGACTCGTCGTCCCGACGCAGTTTTTTAATCAACACCTCCCTGCGGCAGTTTTCTAAACATCAAGAGCCGCCGCGGTGGACATTTCAGAAAAGTTGTTCTTAAAAGTTAAAAATGAAAAATTAAGGTAGCAACGTGTTGTTTTGTAAGCCATCTTTTTTAATTTTCGTTTCCGTCTTTTTTCTGTTTCCTTAGTTACCGCTACACACCGACTGTTGTAACGGGGTGAGTTTGCACCCTTTCCGTCCCATAGTTGCCACCGCATCCGGTCAGCATCATCCCCTCGATCCGTTGCACCATACCAGGAACGTTATGCAGTACGAAAACGCGCTCGTTATGTGGTGGGTGGGATACCAACAGGAAGACCCTGACCTACTGACCACCATCATCAAAGCAGCGTCCAACAGCTAACCCAAAGATCGAAGTTTTAATTTAAATTTTGATTAGAGATCATTTCTTCATTAATTTAATTTGTAATCGTTTTCATCACGTAGTGTTTTTTTTTTAAATACCTACATATTCTGATGTTGTAAAACGTTCGATAGGTTTAGTTTTTGACTATGTTTAATAATTGTAAAGTAATAACTGGTTAAATACTAGAATAAATTATTTTCACATTTGAATCGTTGGCTTTTCTTTATCTTGATTACTTATAAACTGTAAGGAAAAACTCTAAACGCAGCAAATATATACAGGGTGACTTTTTCAATCCAAGGAGCCTTTTACGGACATCTGTAAAGTGTACTGAGTGATGTAAAAGAAATTAATTATAATAAACAATATTATCGTGAATCTTCCAATGGCTATACAGGGTGTTCTTACGAGATAAGTATGTAGAAAAACTTAACTTATAAACTACAAGGAAAATCTCCAAACGTAGTAAATATAAACAGGGAGACTTTTTCACCTTACAGGTCTTACAGGCATCTGTAAAGTGTACTGAGTGATAAAATAGAAATGAGTTATAATAAACAATATTATTGTGATTCTTCCAATGACTGTACAGGGTGTTTTTACGATATAAGTATATAGAAAAACTTCACTTATAAACTATAAGGAAAACCTCCAAACGTAGTAAATATGTACAGGGTGACTTTTTCGCCTTAGGGCACCTATTGCAAACATCTGTAAAGTGTACTCAGTGATATAAAAGAAATGAGTTATAATGGACAATATTATTGTGAATCTTCCAATGGTTATACAGAGTGTTCTTACGATAAAAGTATTTAGAAAAACTTAACTTATAAACTATAAGGAAAGTCTCCAAATGTAGTGAATATATACAGGGCGACTTTTTCAAACCAGGGAGTCTATTACAGGCATCTGCAAAGTGTACTCAGTAATATAAAAGAAATGAGTTATAGTAAACAATATTATTGTGAATCTTCCAATGGTTATACAGAGTGTTCTTACGATATAAGTATATGAAAAAACTTCAACAGTGTAAGTAGCATTTTGAATAGTAAATATTAATAACTGATTAGAAATACATTGAACATAAAAATTAATTACTTTCAAACGAAACACTAATTCTTGAACAGAGGTAAGTAACAACTCAGAAGTTTAACTTATAAGCTAAAAGAAACCGATTTTCTTTAATAAAAAAATAATTATGGAAATATGCGGGGATGATGAGAATCCAGATACTGGGAGGTCGGGGATGAATATCGAACTTGCAAAGGTATGTTTTCATTAGAGTTTAACAGTGAAAAATTATGTTGAGTGTTTTCTTCGGTGCAAGGGCCTCCAGATGGTGATATAAATCTTCTTTGATAATTATTCTCTCTTGGGAAACTTGGATTCTGATAATAATCTCCTGAAGACTGAGAGTGTGGTCTCACCATTTGATTAAAATTCGGTGAATATCGATTTCTTACGAAGTTTTCTGTCTCATGTAAGTTCTGATGGTTAATATTGTATCTCCCTTCAAGTTCAAAAGTTTTTGGAACTTCTTCAAATACATTTCTCCTTGGGGCCCTGCAAGGTGGTTCTCTTCTTTGATATGTGTAGTTCTTTTCCGTTTCTACAAATTCTGCTTCATTATTATTGTTGCTAACGAAACGAGGAGGCACAATGAAATCGCTTCTGGGGTTTCTATTTCCCATTTGAAACTCATTCTGTGTATCATAATGGTGAAGATTATGATTAGGATATCTTTCACTGTTTGGTTGAATTCTCTTCATGGTGCCAATGTTCTCAGGTTCTCTCTCATAGTAATAATCCATTTTTCTTGGAGATCTATCATAGAGGAGATCATTACGACATTGAGTGCGATGACAACAGCACGAAGTCGATGGGGGTGGATGACAAGATTGACCAATGAATTTGACTTCTTTTAAGGGATAATTATGCTGAGTGTATGGTCTTGGAAACTCGTGGTAGAAATTCCTTTCAGAGGTGCTGGGACGATTTTGTTGAGAACGAGGTTCGTAAGTAGGGAAGGGAGTTTCAATCTTCCTAGGATTATTATACTGAGAAATACATTGTGTCCTTCTTGAGTCAAAATTCGCTTCTTGGAAATCATCGGGATTTCGACGAGAATAATATCCATCATATTCTACTCGCTGAGGGTCATATTTCGGTCTATTTTCAAGGAAAGTCTCTGTGAAACTGCAATTATTTTCACTTCCTCTTGAAGATATTTGTTCTGAAGGAAACGTTGAGTCTGCTGTGTTGTTCAACACTGAACACGCAGACATCCGTGTCGATGCTTCCAGTTGATCTTCACTGTACTTTTGAGCAGTTGCAGAGTATTCGGTGATTTTTATTCTCTTTTCTGGATGTTGAGGGTTTTTCGGTGGAGGATACTGCTGGGAAGCTGGTGGTTCTTTCTGGTGTTGTTGCACGTTAGATTGTTGCTCATTGAGCTTTTCTATTGTCTCTAATAATGAAGTTGATAGAAAATCGGTGAAATTGTCCCTCAGAAAGGTTTCTTGAGCGTTGTCAGAAAAATTATTTTCGGAAGTGGTTTTGTTTGGTGGTAATTTGGAAATTTCATTGTCTCTGAAGAAAAATGGAGTTGGGGTTTTACAAGTGTAGGAAAGGGGTGGGGGGGTTAAAAGTAACTTACCTTGAAACGTTTGGTGAATATTTTTGATGTGGTGATGAAACAAGTGGTGATCTCCAACTAATTGATTTGACATCGATTTTCATACTTTCAGGTAAGTTGTTCGTTTTTCGGTCTATATCATCCACGATTTCTACCACACGATAATTCCCATTGGTTGACGATAATCTTGGTCTCTCTTCATGGTTGGTCGATCTAATTAAGTCGTGATTAAGTTTATCTTGAGGTTGTTTCGCACAGGTTTTCGCAATATCCCGAAGACTGTCGCTTTGAGAGAGGGGTCCCTGATGGTCAATGCCGAAAATTAATAAAAAAATCTCTAAACATTTTCGTAATAATCCTACCGGAGACATCAGGGAATCTTCAAAGTTGAAATTTGCTATACTCAAACCAACTTTTCTTGTCGGATTGAGCACCTTTTTTGAGTTTCGTTTTTTGGATATTGGATATCGTCTACTGGTTGATATTTTGGGAGACATTGTTGTACTGAAAAAGGACATGTTTTGAGGAGGGATGGAGGAAGGAGTAACTGAAGAAGGTGTGTTTTGTGTCGATGGATAGGACGAGGTTGGATACGTTAATGGTCCATGTTCGGGGTAGTTGTTTGAAACTTTATCACTTGAGTTCTTGATGACAGTATTGTCAACGGCTGTATTTTTCTCTTCCAATATTATGTTTGATAGTTTCTTTACGAGGGATGGTTTTGGTGGTAATTTGTTGCTAGAGTCGATTTTGTTTCCAAATTTATTTATATTTTGATCATTACCATTGCTGCTATCACTTGTGATAACATCTAAATTGTCATTTTTATTTTGGCATGGTGTTGACCCACCATACGTTTCCAAAAGTAGGTCGTAATCTTTGAAGTTGTCTCTAACATATTCCTCCATGGATCGGCGAAGTGATCCAGGTGATATGTTGTGATTTTTTGTCGTTTCTTGAGGTTTATTTGGTAAACATGTTTCTTTTTCATTTACATTTTTCGAAGTACTAGATAAAATGTTGTTTTCTTGGTTATTATTTATTGTTTTATCAGGAGTTGTTTTGTTATCGTCAAAATTGTTTGACGACTTATTTTTGGTTTGGAATGGTAGTTCTTTTTGAATTATTCTTTCTGGGATCGTCGAAATTTTTGAAGAAGTTTTTGGTGTGAAGGTTTTCTAAAAATGTTTCAATTCAATAGTGCCAAGAAATAATCATAAGAATAAAGACCATAGGACGATAAGCATAGTCCCCAGAGGGATATTTGGATTATTTCTTGAGGGTATGTTGCTACTAATGAGATACGTTAATCCTGAAAATTTTACACTTCTATCTATTTTGGTTTTTGAAGAAATCCAAAAAGCGAAAAATCAGAAAATATTTTTTTCTCAAAAACGCCATAACCGATTTAAGTTCAATCAGAATCAATTTTCATTTTCTTTTATAATAAAATCCTTTTTGCCTTTGTCTAATTAGTCGACTGACTAATCATCATCGCTACCTTCGTCAATAACAGTAATAATATTAAAATAATTCGAAGTGGTCTGTATTCTGTCGAAACTGTCAGACGCGGATCGCGATTTCGATCTTTTGGATCTCATCAGCGCGTCGCAGGCAGCTCCGACAGAGCACAGACCAACTTTTACCTGCTGTCTTAACAGTGCGTTTTAGAAAATACTACAAATGGCGCAGTAAAGTATGTTGGAGCATACGTAATCCTAAAACGTAGCATCGTGCTACAGATGGCGTTTACTGCGCCATTTGTAGTATTTTCTAAAACGCACTGTTAAGACAGCAGGTAAAAGTTGGTCTGTGTTCTGTCGGAGCTG